CTGAGTATCATCAGCGTAACAATGGAAATTTATCCCATGCTGCTTAATAATTTTACCCAAAGGACGCATATACAAAGTAAAAGAGGATTGGTCCAAGCACTGAACCCTGAGGAACTCCATGACTAACTCTTGTGTAAGAAGAAGATTCATTATTAACATTAACAAACTGAAATATATCAGTTAAATAAGACTCAAACCATTTTAGAGCTGTTCCTGTAATTCCAATATCAAGTTCAAGTCTACGTAATAAAGTATTGTGATCAACTGTATCAAATGCACCACTTAGATCTGACAGCAACATTTTAGGCAGAATACATGTCCACCCCACCACACTGATCCATTGAACTTGGGAAAATGAAATAATAGAAATATCTATAATGAGACACAATCTGCAGCAAAGATTATGGCACAAAAAATTTCATCTAGGATTTTCAGGTGAGGTCAAGCGTCTGTACCTGTTGATTCCTGGCAGCATAAATTACAGCAACTCGATAAGGACTCGAATCAGTTAATAAAATTAAAAAATTAGCCAAAAAAAAGAACTTTTTGGTAAAAGAATTAAAAAGGTGACTCTGTCAAAAAGATCCCTTTATCTATATTTAGTTTAAATCTTTGCAGCACCCTAGTAGAAAAGACTGACACAAAAAATAAAAAGAAAATGTCTAAAAAAATTCTCCAAATCAGGATTTTACTAAAACAATCAGCTAAGTCATTCTTCTCAAAGTTTTTCAGGAAACAGAAAAACGTAACCAAAGTGTACCATATGACAAACTTGGAAAAAAAAAAAAAACGTAGATGATTATTTTAGGAAGGAGTGAAAATACAAACAATTTCTTTGTAATTTGTTTTTAACTGGCTGTTAACATTTTTTGACATTTTAGAAAACATAAATGCCATTTAATTGAAATTAATTTTATCAAATAAACACAAAATTATTTCAATAACTGCTCCGCAAAAAAAGGCTCATTATCACTTTGCGTTCATGAATAATTCAAACCATTTAAAACAAATGGCTTTATTTTTAAAGGTTACTGATAAGTTTATTTAATTTAATCATGAACGTGTTCTGGAAAAGGTGACAAAAGTTGTGTAAACACAGCAGCTTCTCTCGGGGGATTTAATTAGTGTTTTCAGGGAGTGATTTGTCTGCCAGCATGATGTAAAGCTGAATGACACACGTGGCTAGAACTCAGATCAGAGCTTCTTAGCAGCTTAGCTCAGAAATTCACAGCTTGTAGACGAAACACGTTAAAGATAATATCTCACATGGTTGTAATTGTTAAAACTAATTACAAACGACTTAAAACAACCCAATAAAAACAGCTAATTATTCATTCAGACTGCAGTCTCAGAGTACTCTGTATCACTTTGGCAGCTGTGCCTATGTTTATTATTTAATCAGACAGCCGTGGACCAATCAGTTAATTAATAATTATTAATAATTGTCTGCATGCTTTTTCAACTGGGCCATGTTTTCTGTCAGAGAGCTCCAGTACCAAAACACAGCTTTTGTTTTCTTGATGAAAGTTTGGAGATGACCACAACAAAATGGAGATCATTTTAAAACATCTACAACCACTCTGTGACTGATATGAGGGAAAAAAATCAAGTTATTGAGCTTTTCATATATAATCAGACAGGAGAGCATTTCTTTACCACTCAAGCTAATAAGTTGTGAGCCTCACAAAAGTCCTGAGACATTCTGGAGACTCTCCTGTAAGTGTCATCTGGTAACTTTTCCCAGTGCAGTGAGATTTACCTTAAAATGTATGTTTCAAACTAATGGCTCATGGGCCAAATGTGGCCTCCGTGTGACTTCCATCCAGCTTGTCAAAACTAG